GGGAAAGGGTGTAGCGGATTCTTATCTGGTCTGAAGTTAATACAGCCACGGAGTGATGCCGGGGTCGTGGTAAAGCTGTCCTTCCACGTAGAGCCGGTCCACTGCGATGACAGCGTGTGAGCCCTCCTGGATGAAGCCGCGTCGGAATGGGAAGAGGACCCTGCGTCGTTCCAGGATCTTTTTGGGGAACTGGTCGTTCATGCTGAAGTCCGTTCCTTTGAATTCCCTGCCGCGACTTTTCACCTGTTCCTTTTGTTTGAAGTGGCCGAATTTGGCCACAATAGGACGTGGTCTCCCGGTCGCAGCATGCCTGGGGCCGATGCAATGCACTCTATCAAAGGTGATGTTCTTCACCGTGTCCTCCGGCAGCTTCAGGTGGGTTTTGATGAAGCTTTTTACCGTGGTCTCCGCGTCTTCTCCAGCGTCTTCTGGAATACCAGAAAATACAAGATTATCACGCATGCCACGAGCTTGTAGATCAATAACTGTCCGTTTTATTTTTTTTATTTTCTCTATTTAGCTGAGTAACATTGTCTGTGAGACATTTCACCGACTCCCTTAGCGTGGCATTTTCAGCAGCGAGCGTTTCCACCTGCTACTGGCTGAACTCCAGGGATTCTCGACATCTTTTCGACAACGGTGTCTCAGATTTGGCCGGGGAAGATGCACTTTGAGCCTTCTTCATAACAAGATCCTGAAAGCACTGATCAATGTGATTTTAGAGAGCCTCTAAACTCTCCCCGTTGTTCTCCAGGGTGTTGGAGATGATTTGGACAAGTATTGTTAGTTATAAGACAATTGATAAGTGCATTTGGATAAGTGCATAATACTGAAGCTCAAAGGAACTTGTTCAATTCTAAACTACCATTTGCTTTAATTTTCCGCCAAAATCTCTGGCGTCTGACGTCACTTACAACATGAGTCGCTTACCTTGTCCGTCACTTCCGTCACTTACCTCCTCTTTTCACTCCCACATTGGGTTGGCAGCTGCGGGGGTTTGTCCATTCCTCTGCAGATGATCTGTTAGCTGTTTGACAACTACTCTTTCAAGGATTTTTGATATGAAAGGAAGGTTGGAGATGGTCTATAATTAGCTAAGACTGCTGGGTCTAGAGATGCTTTTTGAGTAAAGGTTTAACTACAGCCAGCTTGAAGGCCTGTGGTACATAGCTGATTATTAGAGATAGGTTGATCATATTTAAGATTGAATAATTAATTAATTAATTATTAATTAATTAATTAATTCTAATTAATTAAGAAAAAGAGTCTAACTTAACATCAATGGTACTAAGAGTAGCTGTAGATAATATTACATCTGTGGGATGGTTATTGGTCATTTTTTCTCTAAAGGTTAAAATTTTATTTGTGAAGAAGTTCATGAAGTCATTACTAGTTAACGTTAAAGGGATGGTTGGCTCAACAGAGCTCTGACTGTTTGTCAGCCTGGCTACAGTGCTGAAGAGAAACCTGGGGTTCTTATTTTCTTCAATCAGTGATGAATAGTAAGATGTTCTGGCTTTGTGGAGGGCTTTCTTATAAAGCAACAAACTATCTTCAACAGGGTTTTGTAGTATAATGTGTGTCTATTCTTACTGCTGTACTTTTGCTGGTTTTTACAGTATATTTCCTCACATGTGTTTTTCTTGTATCATTTCTTTGTCTTGTCTCCTTTTGTCCCTCCAGACGTCCCACAGCAGCATGTCTGTAAGGAGGAGCTTCTCACTGACCAGCAGCTCTGTAACCAAGAGGGTCTCAACCAGAAGGAATCAGAACTTCCTCATATTAAGGAGGAACAGGAGCAACTTTGCAGCAGTCAGGAGAGAAGACAGGTTATACTGAAGGAGGAGACTGATACCTTCATGGTGACTGCTGATTATGGGGAAAGTGACCACAGTAAACCAGAACAAAAGAGTAACCAGCTTCTCTCTCACAGCTCTGCTGTAGGTGAGAGCCAATATCAGGAAATAAGGAAGAAGTTTGATTCAGGATCAGCTGGAAATAGAAACAAAAGTCTCAACAACGCTGAATATCCACCTACTTCAGGAAGTCATTGTAACTCTGATAAAAGTAAAAAGTCTTCAAACTGTGATGTTTGTGGAAAAGCCTTTAAGTATGATTATATAATGAGAAGGCATTATCGAATCCACACAGGTGAGAGGCCGTTCTCTTGTAAAATGTGTGGGAAAACGTTTATATCTGCTAGTTCTTTGTTGAAGCACACAAAAACTCACTCAGGTGTTAAGCCATTGTGTTGCACAACTTGTGGAAAAAGGTTTGCATATAACAGTGATTTACTGAAGCACACAATATCACACACTGGGGAGAAACCATATCATTGTGCAACATGTGGGAAAGTGTTTGGATATAGTAGTTCTTTAATGACGCATATGAGAATGCACACAGGTGTGAAACCATATAATTGTAAAACATGTGGGAAGACGTTCAAACGTAACTGTCATTTAACGGAGCACATAAGAACTCACACAGGTGAGGAACTCAGGACTTAGAACTCTTTTATTGTCAATGTATAGTTGCTTGCACACTGAAATTTGGAAGCAATACCACATAGTGTGAAAATAAAGACAACAATATACTAGGAAGAAGAAGAACAGACAATATAAGAACACTATGTACACTATAAACATGATGTACATGTCATAATAAAACATTGTAAATAATAAATAAGGGTGTAAGGGCTATGGTCATTAAGGGATGGAGATTGCACATATAGCTGAAATATTGCACAGCAGGAGCAGAATATTGTATGGGAACAAAAAGAAACTCACACACAAAGCAGCAGGAAGCTGTCCTTCTCAACTACATAAAACGGGGCCATGCCTTTACAAATGTAATGTGAGACGGCTCCTGTGATTTGTTTATGGCGCTGGGATGTTTTCTCATGAGGGCCTTGTGTGAAAGACTGCTGTATCTTCAGCTGGTATGGTTTTTCTTTTCCCAACTTGCTCCCATCGTTCCACAACTTGGTTTAGCTTGGATTTTCTGGATTCTTGAGTATTCTTTTTTGTGGACCTTCTATAAGTGATAGAAGAGATTTGTTGTGTTGCCATCGGGTGCAGGAATAGTTTTATAGCATAGCTTGCAAATGGGCGTCTTCTGCTCCGTGTTGGTGCCGTTGAACC